GTATTAAATTAATATTATAAAATAATACGGATTATACAACGCTAATTTGATTTATTCTAATTTGTTCGTAGGACTGTTGCAATAATAAAGTAATAAAATATGTTATAACGATTTTTGTTTTAGTAAGGCTGAAAACTAATCTTTCTGTAATACGAAAATTTTAGTTTCAGTATGTACGAAATTATATAATAGTACCTACTATAATATTAAATGAACAATCTATACACATAATAAAATTCTGGGTCGAATCTGTACATTAAATATTTTTTGGAAAATCTTATTGAAATAGTCATTATTATCGATACAGAGACTGAATCTATAGTTTTTAGAATTTTTGTCTATATGTCTGTCCGTCCGTCTGGGAACGCAGCACAAAAAATAACTGGACAGATTTTGATGGAATTTCGTATAATGATAGCTGGTTATCCGGGTCAACATATAAGATACTTTTTACTGCGGGAAAATATCTCATCTCTGAGAAACTACACTAAACGTTAAAACATAACTAGGGACGAACCCAAACAGAGCGAGATGAGTCGCTATTCTAGTATAAGATCCCGGGTTAGATATACTAACAATTTTGGCGGAAAACCAATGATAAAAGAAAATCTAAAAGAAACTAAGTGCCGCTTCTAACTAAATTAACGTGGGTACGGATAGACCCTTTTTCTTAGGGATCAGTAAAGGTGAAATCAATCGAGCTAATTCTCATAGCGACCATTGTTAATGTATTTTTAGAAAAAAACATTGAAATAACATAGATAACTTTATTATATATGATATATTAGTTTTCAGTACCTGGGCTAGCGAGCTTCGCTCGGAGTTTTTGGCCTAATGTTAAGTTTTCTTTTTCTTTAAACTAAAAACTTGAATAAATATAAAAAAAAACAAAAGTAACAACTTAGTATGCGACCGAGATTCGAACCTGGACACCTGTGCTAGTTGATCTTGCACCTTGGCCGCTTGACCACAAAGAAAACTGCATTTTCTCATCACGCGTTTTCAATCACGCGTTTTCTCAGACATAAAACTAATCTAGATCGATTTATCGCCTCCGAAGCTCCCGTTTATAAAATTTCATGGAAATCGTTGGAGCCGTTTCTATATATATATCTATATATATATATATATATATATATATATATATATATATACAAGAATTACTCGTTTAAAGATATATGATATACCCTTTAATTCCATTAAACATTTGATATACATTAAAGATATGACAGCTAATACAATTATGCATAAGCTCCTAATAAAGAATTTTTAAAGTTTAGATACTTATAGAAAATAGCTTGATAAGTTGCCATATATTCGTAAATTATGTAAGCTATCCATAATCTAAATTAAAAAAGAAAGAAAGAGAGTTTAACGTAAGTCAATACGTTCTAGATTTACGCCAATATTTGACATTTTAAATAAAACTATCTTTTGGGATTTTTTCGTGGATTTATTTTGATTTTTGGTACCCGATGTTTCGAATGCTTTTCAGCAATCATGGTCACGGGAGATATCATGACCATGATTGCTGTAAAGCATTCGAAACGTCGGAAACCAAAAATTAAAATAAATCTGAAAAGTTAGTTTAATTTAAAATATACAGTCACTTTTTTCGATGAAGATCTTACTTATACAGTATGCTTGGAAACATTTCGAAAGTTTATTACTACAGTGGTAGTAGCTACAAGGTCATAGGTTACGTGTTCGATTTCTGAGCTAGAATTTTCGTCTGGTTAAAGTAGATAGTTACTAATAAGGGATATTGAAACATATAATAAATATATAATTGAGGCCTTCTTTATGTTTGATTGATGTTATAAAATATAATCGATTAATTATAGAATAGTTGAAACACAAAATAAAAGTTCTTTATTAATATATATTTTTGCGTATTTAAAAAAAACACTGAAGTAATATGTCTTATTAAATTAATACATTTTTATATTACTAAATTTATTTGGCTTCAAAATTAAAAAGCTAATATCTAACATTTGCAATGAAGAATCGCGAATTCTTCAAAATATATTCAAGCATTTCTATTGCAGGTACATATAAATACTAAATGTTAACAATAAAAGGCACTGATTTAAATATAAAAGTCACAAGGTTAAGTTGGAGTTTGGACAAAGATTTATAGCGAAGATATTATACAAGAAAATTTGAAAAATTAAACACGCAATCTTAATAGTCAAATAATATATTTATAATATGTATGTATTTAAAGTTATATATGTGTAGTGTATCAACTCTCTGGTATCCATAACACAAGCCTCGTAGCTTACCATGGAACTAGATGGTGCTGTGTTTAATCCCAAGATATTTATATTGAATTTTATTTAGGGCCCATCTTAGTAAGATGTGCTGGAGATATTGTATCTAGTGCACAAGTGCGTGGGGAAAAAATTAGGTGTAATCTCTATTCCCATCAGACAGTTAATGCCATGGTTACGTGCGCTCTGAAATATAGTTATCGGTACAATTTTATCAACTCCTTACTGTTAATACTATCGTTCTCAGAAAACATTGTAGTTTTTATGTTTTGACTTGAGATTTGAACCTAGTTATGCAGCTTTTAAAGAAATATAGAACAAATCATGCTGGTCTGGTAGATATAAAATTAGCAAGCATCAATCAACACCCAATGTCTTTAAGTAAAGAGCTGAAAATGGATAAGAAATAGGAGAATTCTTCACTAAATTAATATTCTTATCTAATATCTTCGCTGTTAAAAAATATGAAATACATTTGTAAAATTTCCATTAAAAGTTTTTTTTTTTACCAATTACATAATAATTAATATATTATATACTATATTTTATACTATGAATAGCAAATATACTACACATCGATTTTTACAGAACCTTATACGACATCAAATCCTTAGGTGCATTCGCATATAAAACATTATGTACATTGTAACTTATTATTTATTCTAATTAATTCTAAATGACGATTTACTATAGGTTTGATTCTCGGTTATAGTATTTTTGAGGGATAAATTTTGATTTTTAATTTTCTAACCAGTAATTAGAGTAATAATGATTACGAAAAAAATATTTAAAGAATGTGTTAATATTATTATTATATTTATGAATGTAAGTTTGAAACAGTTATAATATAAAATAACTTCTTTTGACAGAACCATAGACATAGAGAGTGGACTGAGCGTTTCCTAGCGAGCCGTCTGTTGAAAATGGCGTAAAGCGTGACAGAGACAACACTAGTATGCGGCCAGAAGGCTTATATATTTATTGAAATGCGATTAATGAAGATAGATATTTATAAGCATTTTACATTCCATTATAATATTATATATTTTGTTATATTCCATTTAAAAATACAAATTGGAATAAAATACAGGTTTTAGCCGCACGTTCGCTTTCTCTCTTTCTGAGTGGTCAATTACATAACAGTATTGCTCAGTTCATATTTTATGTCTATAGTCAGAACTATATTGCAATGATATTTATCAATTTATTATATTATAAGCATCATCTGCTATATCTTTGGTTTAAAAATTGCCTTATGGACTAATTGTCGATGGTGGTAATATTATTTTATCCTTTAGAGACTCATTTCAGAAAATATAATAACTAACAGTCATTTTTATGGTTTTAAGTAGCATAGGCCTAACGACATGGTTTAAATTTATTTATTTTCTTCTTAAATCAAAATTTGCACTAATGTAGAGAACCTAAGTTTTATGTAAGGATTTATGTGTATCAAATTTGTTGTTTTCTACGATATTGCTAAGTGCGATAGTGCTAAGGATTTGTAGTGGCTTAGAAATGTATACTGAAGAGTCCGCACACTCTACATTTTAAACTCTGGACATACACTTTAGTCAGGTTCACACTACTGCGATTTAGTATCAGCTGATACTATTAAATTTAATTAAACTATTGAATGAAAAGTCTGCAGTGTGCGGAGGCTCTTACAGAACAAATTCCAAATATCGCCCCATACATTAGGGTTCATACAAGTTTGTCGTGGTGGGGGGAAACAGTCGTGCTTCGACAGACCTGCCGTCGGGGCATCGTAGTTGAATGCGTAAGCGATCCTGCGACGCCCCATTTAGACGGGGGAAGGTTTTGTTGGGTTTTAGTGGGTAGTACTGGCTTTGCCGGTGAGTCCCACACTTCGTGCGTAAATGCATTTCCCAACGATAAAAAAAAAGGGTTCATACAAGTTGTTAGATAATCATTAAATATAACCAAAACAAAACGTTTTTCATTAGAAAATGGTTGGACGATGAATAATTTCTTAGGAAGGCAGTTTTAGTGTATAAATATATAATACTAAGAGTAGGTGATTTTTTACAATTTATTCATAATATAAGAATAAGTATGATTATCATATAAAATACATAGCAAATGGTCCAATATCATTATAAATTCATTTTAGTATATGAAAGCCTTGGTAATACAGTAAATATGACTTTGGAACCGATTAATATTGAAGGAAAATATGAATAGTAAAAATATTTGATCCAAACAAATAACTGTTCACAAACAGCTGGAATAGATTAATCATTAAAGAAAACCCATCATCCCTTTCCTTGTAGTCTATACGTTCTGAAATAATTTAGTATCATATTTCCAGAGGCATATTTACAATACTAATTCTGACATATTTTATTACAAATATTTATACACGTAATAAAACTACAAGATTACCTAATATTGCTGATTATGTCGTAGGACTATTAAATACACGTATATTATAGGTATATATGGGGAACATACTGTGTTATCTCACTTATAATATAAACTACTGATTAAATTCCATCCAAAAACTTGGCACATAAAACTAGTTTCGGCTTACTTTGGCGTAAAATACGATAAAGGCGCCATATTATGATTTTTAACATTTAATCTATAAAATACTTTTAACACGGCACTGATTCTAACCTAAGATATAATATAATATACATGATATACTCGTAACCCGCGTTGAAATGTCCCTTACACGAACACGGGCTCGTCACTTTCTACTCACAGGACGTGTAAGTTTTCACAGTTTTTGAATTTTGAATCTTCCTTACCGAATATCCAGGTAAGCATCTGCCTAGCTTTCATGCTAGCTCGTACTACACCTCTAGATTTGTACCAATGAGCTGGAGATGATTCCCTGCCACTATCTGAGGAATACTGTTGCTTTTTAAGTCGAATCTGATTTAGAATTCCCACTAGAAGTTCGTCCACATTATGGTTGATCCCAACGGACACTTCGATAAACTTCGCTTTATACGTGCAGGCGAGACACTTGCCGTCTGAAAAAGTAAACAAAATTTACCAAATTCTAACCAATTCTAGTGAGCACCTGGGAATATTTTCTCGCAAGCTTTTTATATGTAAAGTGGCAATAGTATGTTTATTATATACAGAACTATTTCTTTAAATAGTATCTATCAACTTATTTTAATAAAAAACACAATGAAATTATCTTTGGGCAAGGATAAAAATAATGGATTCCGTCGAGGTTCGTTGAACTGGTTGTCGATCTGTTTTAATGTTTTCAATTTAATATTTAAAATATTTTAGTATACAAATCTGGTGTTATGTTGTGTTCTAAGGGAAGTGATAAAGTACAACAACAAAAAAAAAAATAGTGTAACACTTAGAATTCGGGTGTCAATAAATTTGTGGGACAACTTGCTTTGAATCCGTTGGCGTCTTGGAATCTGATTAGCCATTAACGAAAGAATTGAATTGAAATCTCCACGGAATCCATGAAAAAGCAATAAAACTAAAACACCTGTGTTTTAATGTGCCATTTATATTATAGATCAGTTGACATTTACGGATATATATATATATATATATATATATATATATATATATATATATATATATATATATATATATATATTGTTAGGGGATTTGGTTGTCGTTGACCAAAATAATGATAATAAAAAACAAAAACTTGTTTGTCCATCAGTTATGCATCAATTGAAAACGTAGTAGGTACTACTTGTATCGTGAATAATTTTATTCAAAGCAATGCTAAATATTATTTTCATGGTTTTAATTGAGAGCAAAAACTACGAACAAAAGGCGTCCTTGTTAACCGCAGCCGAGTACTTTACAATTACCATATTTTTTTAATCGAAGAATAGAATGAGATGGTAATAGTGTTCTCTATGTAATCCCCTAAGGGAGTATGTATTCAGCCCTTTTTAACGTCCCACTGCTGGGCACGGGCCTCCCTTCAATATGAGGGTTATCAGGCCATTGTCCATTACGCTAGCCAAGTGCGGGTTAGCAGACTTCACATGTATTTCGAAAACTTGTTAGGTTCTCTCAGACATGCAGGTTTCCTCACGATGTTTTCTTTCACCGTAAGACAAGTGGTAATCATGTTGGAAATGATTCGCAGATGAAAATATCAGAGATGCAAGTTTGCACTCGGTTTCGCGGCTTTCGGCCTACCACTGCCTGGTAAGGAAGTAATCCAAAAAAAATGTACAGAAAAAATCTATAAAAAAGTTTTTATTTTAAAGCTGTAATAAGAAAGGTCAAGTTTCAGGGAAATTCAGTCCACAAATAGGGATAATAAAGTTACCATTTTAGCATACAGAAATCTTTGACGATATTCCATATTGAAATCGCTTTAGGGAAATTACGACTGAAAATTAGATTGTCAAATACATGACGTGGGGAAAAAATTAAATATTAAAGATTAAAGCGAATTTGCTATCCCGATATTTATGGCAACATTGATAAATTGTTTTTATAAAGGCTTTTTATATTTTAAACGCGTGATATATTTTTTTCCAAGTTCATTTTGGGCTATCAGATGCAGACACGGTAAAAAAAATGTTATATTACATGAATATCATGGAAAATAATTAATAATTTTATTTAAATTTTCTTTAATAATTTATACTCGTCTATATGTAAAAATATACATATGTATACAACTTTATTGAGTATATATTTGTTTTGTATATATAACAACATTTTGCCCGCGGTTTCGCTCGCGTAATAATCGGCGTGGGGTTCATGGGAAGCCTATGTCTGATCACAGGGTGAAATTTATTATATCCTTGACTTTTAATCGAAATGGCTTCAGCATTTTAAGCGTGAAAAAGGAACAGATCAAGTTATTATATCAAGTATATATGTAACTTCTATTTATACCCTTAATATTGTAAATGAATATTTCTTTTTATCATGTATGTTAGAACAAATAAATCCTAAAAGTATGCGATACAACTTGACCTTGCACATTATTTATCGAAATTTTAATGGAAATTCGATAGTTAAGAAATGGGTCCTTTACAAACAAACAAACTTTCATTTTTATATACATATATGTGTACTATATATTAGTTTTCTATACCTTGTGTAGAAACAGCTCTGCTTCTCGCTAGGTCTATTTTATTTCCAACCAATAAAGCTGGTCGAGACCTCAGCATGTCACAGTCTAAGAGCCTCACTAACTCCTGTTCAGCTTTTGTAAAGGAAGCTTTGTCCACCACAGAGTATATGATCACGAAGGCATCTGGTGGTTCCGAACGATCGATTTCTTCCTGAGAAAAGAAGTAAATATGAATAAATATGTTGGGACATTATACAGCACCATCTAGTTCCGTGGTAAGCTACGAGACTTGTGTTATGGATATTAGATAGTTGATACACTACACATATATAACTTTAAATACATACATATTATAAATACAAACACGCATGACTGGAGCACCAACATTCGTGCTCATCACGCAAATGAATGCCTCCAGTGGAACTCGAATCCGCGACCGCTGGCACACCAAGTAGGGTCACTACAAACTGAGTCAAACTTCTTTTTACTCTCAAAGTCCGATGGGACAATACTTCGACACGACTGATGAGATTTAAGGCGCAGGACCGACTTCTCTGCTTCACGTGCTCTCGGAGGCACGGGGGTAAAACACCGCCAGTTTCCAAACTCTGGGCTATTACTAATCCCTTAACAGAAAGACTCAATAACTAAACTTGGCTCGACCAGGGCCTCGAATACGGGACCTCCGGATGTACAGCCGTATATGCTAGCTACACACAACCGAGACATCATATACAGATTTTGCTTGATTGGATTGCCCTAAGCGCGCCCTTTCTCGTGTCGTCCACAATATATTACTCGTAATTCATGGTACTAGCCATGTGAGAAAACTTTTATCATCTATTCAACTTCCCCAAGGAATTATGTTTTGAAAGACGATGATACAAATAGCTTTTACTAATAATGAATTTACGATTATAATACGATTTCCACGTTTTTGATTCTAAAACATTACATCCAGACAAATTTTAATCCTCTATTCGTCAGAGACGAATTTTTAAAAATCCCTTATTTTTATTTTATAACTATACTAAATGAGAAAGTTTGTATGTGTATGTATGTTTATTACATCTCACACTGAAACGCTTCGACTGATTTAGATAAAATTTTGTATAAAGATACTATTTGACACCTGGATGCATCCGGAGTCGCACCAAGTCCCTTGTATAAAATATTGTCACATAGTGAAGAGTGTGTAACGTCTTTACTAAAAAAGTAATTCAAAGTTGCACGTTTGAAGCATGCTTTATACATCCTAAGACAGTTGTCAGTGTGTGAAAAAGGAATGTATAGGTTTAAACAACATTTTACTACTGATATTTTTTAGTGTTGTAATAAATTATAATTATATTTTAGTATTTTAGATTGAAAAGTTAGTAAGATATAGAAAGAAAAGATTTTCATTTTTGTATATTAATTAATGTCCAAAATAAGTTTTTTGCCAAAAAATAGTAATTGCGCCTTAACCTCACCATGAATTTAAATTGTCAACTTTTTACAAAGAATTGAATTTACACAGTTTCATTTGTCTACTTCGCTAATGAAAACATTCTAAAACTTCTTCTGTATTCTACGCATGGGCGGCGGCAGAATTATTTCCAGGGGTGTGCATTTGTTCTTCACATTAAACTACTAACTAATCCTTAAATGATTCACTTTATAACTTTTATTCATATATTATTAATCATCTTTTCTTCACATAATATATCTAAATTTAAACAGGGATTTTACTAATACAATTATTTTTTCTATATATTTTCCTTTATGGCAGAGGGGTGTAAGTGCCCCTTGGCCCTCCTTCGCACGCCCCTGGTTCTACGTTCATGGTTTCAGGTTCAATTTCGGACTGGAGGAAAAGTTTGAACTAGCAGTTATTTAGCAAGATATATTACAGAATGTTTACGACAAAACTTGTATTAAACTATTTAATATTCTCTCTACTTAAGCAGATATCAAATGTTGTTATTGTCTCCTCAATCAAAATAACTATATTTTTGGCAATATATCATTCTAAATTATTGTACTTCAATTCTCACGGATTTACATTCCTGAACTCCAACAATACCCTATAAAATGTATACTGTCTAGTGTCTAGACTGATGGACAAAGCATAAACTTAACGATAACGAGCTATTTGTTTTGAGAAACTTTTCCTTCAGTACAGGAGTTGCAAGATGTGATTTTTGGAAATTCTCAATCAGTAAAAGATGCTTTTTTTAACGTTACGGCGATGACAATATACATATTTAATTAATTATGAAGGTTCATCATCCTATATCATTGTGAACGAGTTTGTAAAGTGTCGGTATGTAGAAAGTAATATTTTTCTAGGTAAATTAACTTGACAAGTTTTGGTAAATATACAAAAAATCATAGGAGAAGCAGTGGCGAATGATTATTTTAATACAAATAAAAGTAACTACTTTTTACAAAAAAAAAACAATAGGTATTGACCTAACTTCAAAAGACTAAAAGTCTATATAAATCTCCACCCTATATAACCGTTCCACTCATAAAGGCTGGAATTTTTTAATTTATTGTGACAGTGGTTCATTTGAATGCAAACTCTTTACCCCTTTTAAATCGGCTAACAATACGATTAGAAATGCTTGTAAAAGTGTATTTGACTAAATTCAGTTTGTGCTTTAAGTTTGACTTGTGATATTTAGTCTGTGAGCATAGATGGATGGATGAATGTATGTTTGTTACTCTTTCATGCAAAAACTACAGAACGAATTTTGATGCAATTTTATTGATTTATACTTTATACGCCGATGTAGACGTACTACATATTTGAACTACGCGTGCGAATAAAAGTAAAATTTTACGACACGTTTGGCTCAGTTTGTAGTGACCCTACTTGCTGCGCCAGCGGTCGCGGGTTCGAGTCCCGCTAGGGGCATTCGTTTGTGTGATGAGCACGAATGTTTGTACTCCAGTCATGGGTGTTTATATTTATAATGTCTATGTATTTAACGTTATATATGTATAATGTATTAATTATCTGGTATCTATAACACAAGCCTCGTAGCTTACCATGGAACTAGATGGTGCTGTGTGTTAATGTTCTGACATATTTATTTATTATTAATCATTTTTATTTACCTTAGTGCTTGTGCAGTTTACAAAATATAATTCTGATTCTTCACCATTAAGCATAATGGACACTTTTTGTTCGGAGCTGTCAGGGTCTGGAAATAATGAAAGTATATTAGAATTTATTAAAAAAAACCCAATAAATATGAAAATAATTTTGTCTGTATATCTGTTTGTAGCGAATGCATTTTTACACCATTTGTCTAAATATTATATCGATATATTGATTTTATTGAGTTGAAGCGTCTATTGTTCCTGACGTAAATTTGCATCTGGTGTTTTCTATAGCACATTCTCCTCCGACGGGGGTCAAAAAATACAAAATAAATACTAAAATAATTATATTTATATTCATTTATCCTAAATACCTTTTTTATCTTACTAATTATATTTATACGTGTGAAAGTTTATATGTTTGGATATTTGTTACTCCAGAACGGTTGAACGGATCTGGATGAAATTTGGTACAGAGATAGATTATACTCTGGAATATAGTAGTTAATACTACGCTAGTTTATAATATAACGTTGATCATAAAGTACAGCGATATTCGTTTCAATAGCATGATTAAAATCATCGACAAATAAATTCTTTGGAAAATGCAACATCTGGGAAAAAAACTAATATAAATTGTAATTTACTGCTTTAAGTCTCACGAAATTCGCATTTACCTCATAAATTTTACATTAATGTTGTATGAGTTTGCAACGAAAAATGATTTACATAATCAAACGCTTGTTGTGAAATTTTATTGAGGAATTTCAGGGGTGAGCAATGTTGCCAGAAGTACATAATTGATGGGTAGCCGATTTTTGGCAAAACTTTCTTTGGCATAATAAAGTTTACAAAATGTAAATTTTATTTCTTTCTAATTCCATCTTTATTTTTCCCTTTTTACTATCCATTCTCTCTATCTAATCCTTCGAAAACGAAGCTTGTCATGTATTTTTAGCACTATATTATACACGGGCGGAAATGCAACTCCTACGTATATCGTTCGCAGTGAACGCTTCAAAAAACGCTTTCAACTAAACTTGTTAGTTGAATGTCTTGTAGAAGTTGGTATTAATCACTCAAAGACCGCGGACGCGCCGGCGTTACAGTTGACAATAGATTTCTTAGATTTTTAATTAATTTCGTTGAAATTTACCTGGAAGTGATAAAAATGTTTTTATGTATTTAATAGATAAACTAGACGAGTGGAGCTACGGGCTGAAGCTAGTTTAATGTAAACATGAAAGCCTGTAAATCAATTAATTTTACTTTCAACCGGTTCTTCCGGTTAATGACGTTATTAAATATTTAATTAGTAGAAAAAAATAATTATTAGGTATTTTTCACTAATTTAAAAGGTTTTTTAAGACGAGTATGTATTGAGTGATATATTTAAATTCATTATAAATGAATTCGAGTCGATGACCGTTCTTTTTTGCATTGTGCAATGATTTAAGATTATTCGAAAAACATATGCGTGTTCTTGCTAACATAACATGTTAAATAAAACTATTTCGGACTTTATCGCGGATTTATTTAGATTTAGATTCTCGACGTTTCAAACGCTTTACAGCAATCATGGTCACGGGAGAGATTAAGGTTTTGCACGTAAACGTCGGTAACTAAAAATCCAAATGAAACCCGCGAAAAAATCCGAAAAGATAGTTTTATTTAAAATGTCAAATATTCGCGTAAATCTAAGAAAGTACTAACATAACATGTAGTTCAAACTATGTTAATCGATAACTAAGCTGAGGAAAAATTTATTAAATAAATTAGAGTGCTGCTTTCGAAGACACGTAGATAAAGAAGCTTCTGTGACCTAAAAGAACTTTTTCAGGTCTTAGTGTAAGTTACTTTGTGCACTTGGCAGGCGAATGTCGCAAGCAATTAGAACACAGAAATGTGAATAAAGTAGAAATGGCATGATGTAAAATACCACAGTAGTTAATTATTTATTTATACTAGTGTTCGCCGTGTGGTCGAAATTCGACCACACAATCATTGTTAGAAATATGAGGAAAACATTTATGAATAAAATATACATGCTCGTACCTATCTATATAAAAAAAAACTATTTCCAAATTTTTATTTTGATAACAAAAATTTGGTATCAGTTACATTAATCGAATCGAATACGAAAATCGAATTACTGAATCGTCAATCGATTCGTCAAAAAAGAAAAAGATATCTGTCTATCTATCTGTCTTTCTGTTACCGCATCACGGAATAACATCTGGAAGGATTTTGATAACATTTGGTATGGTGATAGCTGGTTATTCGGGTCAACATATAAGATACTTTTTACCGCGGGAAAATATCTCATTTCTGAGAAAAAAAAACAAAAACTGCAATGTAAGAGTATACTAATATGTAAAACCTAAGAATTTGGTTTTTGCCATCTGAACGCGGGCGGAGCCGCAGGTAATGCTAGTTTACATACAAGTCAAAAAAGCCACCTCTACGAGTGCTTTTCTTAAGTTAATATTTACTACATAAGTACTCTTAGATCTATTCCAAATTACATTTTTACCATTTTTAATTTTGACATTCAATAAAATAATTGAGTTTTGTAATTATATTATATAATTGTCCACATACAATTTGCTAAAATATAAAGAATTTTTAATATAATTTGTTATGATACAAAGATTCTTGAAATAGAGGCTTTAAATGTAGTTTTTATGATTTTTATAGGTGAGCTATAATTTTGTTACGTGGTTAGTATATTTTTTTTTTTTTTTTTTAATTCTTGTAGTGAAAAAAAAAAAATATTTTTAGAGAAACGCAATTCCGTCTTTATTTCTTAATTAAGAAAATAATATAATTATAAATAGATAATTGGTAATTGTGAGTCTGGTAACAATTTGCTCGTTTGGAAACAATTTCAAGTGGGGTCATATTCAAGTCACGCACATTATAATAAAGGCGTAAGTGTTTCCCATTTCTAACAGAAATTGAAAATTTGATTGTGCAAATATTTTATTTTGTAACTAGCATTGCCCGCAGCTCCGCCCGCGTTCAGATGACCAAAAACCAAATTCTTAGGTTTTAGATATTAGTATACTTTTACATTGCAGTTTTTGTATTTTTCTCAGAAATGAGACATTTTCTCGCGGTAAAAAGTATACTATATGTTGACCCGGATAACCAGTTATCACCATACCAAATTTCATCAAAATCCCTCCAGTGGTTTCTGTTCTGTGATGCGGTAACATACCGACAGACAGACAGAAATTCTAAAAACTATAAATTCGGCCTCTGTATCGATAATAATATTTATTTCAATAAGATTTTCCAAAAAATATTTAATGTACAGATTCGGCAACAATATACAATTTTATTGTATGTATAGATTTGAGACGATTATAGACGTTTCTCAATTTATTGAAATATATTTTTTATACAAAAAAAAAAACACAAAAGTATTAAGTTGTACTAAAATAATTATGTGCATTAGATGAAAATTTGTTTTTTATCATATATACATGATACTTCTGTGGTACTTTATTCTTAGGACTCAACTTTAAGCCCTAAGGGAATGTTTTTTCAACTAGTTTCTAAGTGCAGAGTTCAAATCGTTGTCAGTTTATAGTATGTTATTATTATATATTAAATTTAATAAGTACTGTACAATACTACTGGACAGATTTTGATGAAATTTGTTATGTTGATAGATGGTTGTCTGGGTCAACATTTAGGATACATTTTAGTGCGAAAAACATTCATCTCTGAGAAATGAAATCTAATCTAGTATACTAACCGTTAAAACATACCTAGAAATGAACTCGAGCGGAGCGCGGGTGAGTCGTTAGTCCATGATATTCATGTTAAAAAGTACTTGCATGATATTGACAAAATTGACTTCAACAATATCAGGAAATAGGCTTTTACTATTGATGAGCAATACTTTCGGTGAGGTGGGTTTTGCCTTTGACAAATTGGGTCGATACATTTTGATTTATTAAACCTTAACACGATTCAGTAATTAAGGGAAACCCCGCTACTTGTATTTTTTTTAATATTTTGAAAAATATGATGCAGTCGGAGGAAAAATATGAGGAGTCTATTAGTCTTTGAATATTGCTTTGTGACGTATAATCTTTTATCCCTTTATGTACTAATACTAACAGACTAGACTAAAATCATAAAAAATGTAAAAAATGAAAAAAAAATTTTTATATGTATTACGAAGATTAGATTTTGCTTAGTTTAATGAAAATCAAAAGATTATTCTAGAAATTAAAAATAAAACATCAAGAAAAAATTAAAAACCGTGTTTTTTGCAATTATACCGAAAACTTTGAGGTAGAAAACATTTTTCGATAGAACGTCACAGTAAGCCGGAAATTGAAAAAAACTATTTTTCAACGCTTTGCGTCCCCCCATTTCTCGGGTGTAGCTGGGCATGTGGAGAATTTTACGAATTTCTATTGATATAATATTTTAAAATCATAAAACTTCGTGTTTTCAATATATTTTTTCTCTTAAAAATTAACGGATTCCGATTGGTCTATTATAATAATATGTTAATATAAGTCATACAAAGATCGCCTCGTCGTTATACTATAAATGAAAATATGTATCTAATCGGCTCTCATATATGAAACTGTTTTTTTATCTCCATATTTAATTCCTTTACGACCGCGGACACGCCGGCGTTACAGTTAACAATAGATTTCTTAGAAATTTAATTAATTTCTTAGAAATTTACCTGGAGGTGATAAATATGAAATGACAAAACGGTTCAGTACCTTTTCTTCCTCTATTTATCAACTGATTTTCTTTTTTTGTTTAGTAGCTGTTGAATAGTTTTTGTGATATCGATGATTTTTTTTGAAAATAAGTTTTATATAGATAGGTAAATTCTATTCATATATGTTTTTCTCAAATTTTCAATGATCGTAGTAGAGTTTTGACTACTGGTTCGATTCCCAGTTCAGGTAAAACTTAAAATAAATAAAATAAATATTTTTCAAGATAAAGAAAGATTTCCTTTGAGTAAATCTTGATAACTTAAATATTTAAGATAATTTTCTTCCATATCCCATCCATTTGTTCCACCACAGGATGGAAAATATATACATACACATATACAAAT